GTGAGTCAATTTTATGACCTTGAGCTTCAGCCTTGTCAGGTACAACCCAATCATTTTCGCGCATCGGTTCCGTCCATGTAGCCTCTCTAGACTCTAGATCACAGACTGACCGCCTCGGATACTAAATCGCATAAACTCTATTCAACCTAGTGGACGATTCCGCTAGAATCTAATTGAGCGAGGATTGCCAACAGAGCCACTTTTGATCGACCCACTCCACACAGATCAAGACATCCAAATAACAAAAAAGCCCACTGCGACAAAAGCCATCCATCCTGCCATCCCGCCTCATCTCCATCAACCATTCCTACCCAAACCCTACTCAACTCGACTCACCCCGTAGGTCGAGCAAGCTCCCTCACCTTCAATCCACTCCGCTCGAGTCCATCCATCCCCACGGACCGAGTGACTCTCAAATAATCCCTCTCAACATCCATACAGGCCGAAACACCCGATCAGTCACAGTAGGAACCAACCAACCTAGAATCAATGAAGATCCAAATTACCAAGCGGCACACGATGGGACGATTCACCAAACTATCCCACGTGACTCGACCCAACGAAACATGTCGAGTGCAGTCATATGACGAACCAAGCCAACCCCAAATTGGTGGCCTCCGCCTCGCCCATGGAGAAAAATTGGCCAAAAGATTGATCGACATAGGGTAATGATGAGGCGTATACCTAGAGTGTCAATCCCAACCAAAAAGAGTCAACCTCACAACTATGGCCGATTCACCCTTTGTGGATGTAATTGCGCTAGCCGAGATGCCACTAAATTTACCATCCCCAGCATGAAGCCTTATGATGGCACAACCGACCCGATGACCACATAGCCTCATACAAGTAGTGGATGTTCGCCGCCTCAATACCCCAAACATTGAAAGAAGCTACATGTGTAAGTTTCAGCTCCAACCTCTATGGACCAGCCCTTCAATGGTACACTAACCTTCCAAACTCAATCAGCTCACTTGGTTAGGTACGCCGACGAGGGCACATTTGTGTTCACCTCCATTTATCCATTCGGTCTGGTATACCGAGTGCGTCACGTCAATGAAAGTTATACTATTCGACTCCATAACTGATGAGCGGCACCTTCACATGTTCAACCATTCGGTCATGAGGACGACTGAGCACACATTCACGCAACATCTATTCTCTAAGCTAAACACTCCTTAACTAAGAGAGTGGGGGCAAACTGTTAAGGCCAAAAATATCCTCGACCTAAAGACGAAGACTCTTACAACAAAGCTCGAAGCCACGGCCCAATTTCGATTAGGCTCGCAACAGAGTTCGCATATTAGCTCGCCCATTACACCTGCCATGTTGCTCACCGCTTGAGCCCAATCAATAAAGGTCCGATTCGTTTGGACCTCATCATCAGCTTGTCTGGGTCTGGGCCCATTTATCCAGACCACCTACTGACATTGGGTCTACTTGGAGCCCAAGGTTGCCTACTCATTCCGACCCTATCCAAACTCTATCGAGATCTATATTTTTCCTAATTCGTTTAAATCTGTATCTTAGACCCGCTGGGACTCCCTTTCCTACTAAGTAAGGGAGTCAAAGGCTCTCCTTTAACAAAACTTCAATTCCTAAGGATTCATGTCCTACTAAGACTCGAAGATCCTACAGCTCTATTTAACAAGAGGCCAGCCCTCTCACTGGGCAAAACATTACACCTTTTAACCCTGTAACTCTCACTCTTGAAACTTCGCATCACAATTGTAGTTATATCTCCGACTAGACTTTTGGTAACCTTCTCTTTCCCTAACCCTCACTAAATTAGCCTCATTCAGCCTTGCTGACTTGAAAGTCAAGTGCCTACGACAAACACCACCCTGGTCTTTCTCGTTGCTTCACGCTTATTTTCTGCGTGTGCTAGTATAGCGGATTGCTGGTGGCCTCAACCTCACGGGATCAAACCCTATTTTTGTAGCGGTAGATTTTTTTGCATCTACACTTATATCTACTCCTCCGTTTCAAATTAATAATCGTTTTAAGCTTTATTTTTTTATAAAATAAAAGACGTTTAACCAATTACTCAACCCTCTCTTTCCTTCTCGACGAATGGCCCCTGTCTCCTTTCTTCCATTTTTTTCTCTGGCCCTCGTCTCTGCTCTCTCTCTTCTCTATCTCTGACCCCTAGTCAGAGTAGTACACTTTCACACTTTTAGATATCGGGAAAACAAATAATTTCCCACCTACGCTTTTAGAGGGAGGAGTAGGAGAAAAAAAATTATTTTATTAAAAATTGTGCATAAACCTAAAAAGATTATTATTGTTAAATGGAGGGATATCATTTAAATTTAAATATGCACAATAATATTAATCAAAACCATACAAAAATACATTTGAATTTATGATTGCAATGACTAGCACCCTAGGAAACAATATTTATTTAATTTCCCATTTATCAACCCCTCAGGCAGATAGATTTTCACATAAAGTAAGATAAAAACATTTGTCCTGAACTACTATTTCTAGTAATAGTAAACGTTTTTCGTTAGATTGTTTAATTATTTCAATAATACAATACTTACAACAATTTATACAAGGTCTTTATATAAGTGATTTATCATATATATGAATTAATTTATAAATATACAGTAATAATAATGAATAATGTAAATGATAGTGAATAATATCAAAACAAGAATTTGTAACCTCATTTTTGTGAATGACTTTATATAAAATCTATGTATTTATGGGTTATTATTGGAACCCTTGAAGAACAATGATATTAAGTACACCCATGATTTGTTAAAAGTGTTGTACTTACTCTTTGATATCATTTACTTCCTTGAGATTACATGTACCCTTGACCAGTATCGAAAACCCCTTATTAAAGGATGGTGATACTTTTCAAACATTATAGGTATGCTCAACATTTTCTCTTTTACTGCATAATTTTACTCAGTATTTTTAATAATTATATCATTACAAAAGCTACAAAAAACTGGCAAGCGGGGATAGCTCAGTTGGGAAGCGTCAGACTGAAGATCGAAGGTCGCTGTTCGATCCACGCTCACCGCATCTTTTACTTTATTTATTTTTTTTACATTTTTTTTCCTAATATTTTTCCCTTAAACTTATAACATTTTTTTTCTACGATTGTTTTTCTCCCATTAAATGAACTCTTTTTTCCTCTTTACTTAGACTGAAAACTTTGTGACTTGAAAAATCACAAACACACACAAATTTTTTTATTCTCCCATTAGGCTTCAATTTTTTTTCTCTTCATCAGACTGCACATTTCGTTAAAATATAATTACACACTGTATGGCCAAATTGTCTTGGACCTTATAAAGCCTAAACACGAACATCTACCTATGACCCAATGCCATGACCCAATTTTGCTTGACCTACTCTAATCCATGCTATGGGCCAACCCATTACACCAGCCAGGCTATTCATGAACTGATCATCTAGTCACTAAGGCTTTGTCCCAATTGGGCCTCGTGTCAATCTATTTGAGTTCAGGCCCATCGCCCAGATCACTCCAAGGACCAATGTTCAATTCATATCCTAATTCATCTCCTTCCTATTCCATATATATCCTTTCATCTAAGATCTTGAATCTGATATGAATTAGGATTCTTACTCAGTAAGTAAATCAGGATTTTCCTATTTACAAAACTGTAATTATGAACTCAGAGTTTTACTAGGATTCAAAGATCATAGGTTCACTATATAAACAGAGGTCTGACCTCTCATTAAGCTCCATTATTCAATACCACATACTAGCTCCTAAAGTCCTTGCTCCTAAGAACAAGCACCTTTGCCGTAGCTCTTATCTCTGATCAGACTCTGGTAACCTTTCCTCCCCTTAGCCCTCACTAATAACCTCTTTCAGGCTCGCTGACTTGAGTGTCGGAGTGCCTATGGCAGACACCACATTGGTGTCCTCCATGAGCTTCATACTTATTTCTTTGTGTGTAGATTCAGGCCTTAACCTCACAGGATCAATCCATACTGAACCGTAGATTTTTATTGTCTACACTACAACTCAATACCCTCTAGTTTTGATTACTAAGCATTAATGGTGAAAGCAAACAAATGATATTTCCTTTCACAAAGGAGGAAATCATGACAAAATAAAGAATAGATTTTGATCACATACCAAACTCAGTTTCAGTATACATTCCCTAAGGAGAGTGGTTCATATATAAAGGAAACAGATGCACGAAACTAAGTAAGTTCAATAGGGTTGGTCCAATTTTCCTTAGATTTCGTATCTCATTAGATACTTAGATTGATGACATTCATAAGGTAATTAGTGTCAGATCGGCAGAGCTTTAGATTATTAGCATGATTTTGTTTTATTAGTCTAATAATAGAACTAAAGCCAGTAAGAGATCTAGAGAATATTATTCATCATCATCACCAAATTCTTGGGAGTTGTTGTGGAGGCATCTTTTATCTCACGATCATTACAACTGGAATGTCATTGTCTAAATTTTGACCAAATTTTAGCTGTGATTAAATAAAAAGTAAAAAGGCTAACTAGAGTAGTAGGAAGAATAATCAAAACAGACACAGAAATTTTGTTGACTGTTCCAATAGTAATAGACCTCAAGCTTTTCCCACAGTCTGTGTTTGACGTGTAGATTCCAAACATGCAAAAATTAAGCCAACCACCAACTATTCAAGCAATAATGCAAAAGGGAAAAGGAGAAATGGTTGGTGTGATGTGAACTATGAAGTAACAGTAAAGACAGCGTGCTTTTCAAATTTTCCTGAAATGATAGAGAGAAGATTTAGGTGAACAGAATAAACCCTTGAGACTTGGCGAAACACAAATCATTCAACCCCATGACATTTACAACCCAGTCTCAAGGCCTGAGCATTAACCAATGCCCCATTATAGTCAAAACTAAATTTAAATTGCTACTATAAAGGGTCCAATAGCAGACTAAAGATATTCAAATGTTACCTAGAAAATAGTTTATGATTAAATGCAAAGCAAGAATGTAGATCTATAATGTGGGTTCCGCATAGAACAATAAAAAATAATTACCATCCATAATGAAAATAATGTAGTTAAAGTTACTTAAAAATCTCCAACTTTTAAAACAAACTGTGACAGATATAGAGTAACACTCATTAGACAGTGATCCAAAATTTCTTGTTTGCAAACTCAGAAATAACATAACAAAACAGACTAGCACGGCTCTTCTAAACTTAAGATGATGCAGCTACGTTCTTCTTCCTTGGAGCAGCTTCAGTACCTAACCCGACAAAAATATAACAGATATCAACACTCCACAAAAAAAATTGCAGCATATAATTATCAACCACAATTCCAATAACAAAGTAAATTACCTTCTCTGAAGTTGCTCTTGAACCTGCGTGGAACATGTCGGAGGTACCTCATTCTGCCAGTTCCAGTAGTCTTCCTGCGAATTGCCTTCACACTCCAGTTATCTAAAATACCACACAAAAGATCCATCAGACATTAGCCACACCGTATAGCAAATCACACTAGTGCAGACAGAGAAATCTGGCTTAGGCACAGAGAAAATTTATAAATCCTGGCTAATTATGTGGTGCAAGGAAGTGTTTCAGCTAGAGTGTAAACATTAGGGCAAGAATTCAGAGTAGTCAATCAAAAATACATTGCTTCTTCACTAGATGATAGCTCAACAGTTATGCAGGAACTCAAGACTAACGGAGAATAAATGAATAATCAGGTAAGTCATAGAACTAAAAAATAACGATGATCAGGTAATTTGCAACAAAAATTCTTAATACCTTAAAGCCTGAAGGTAAAGCACAAAATATAGCTTCTGCATACACTTCTCCCGAATAAAATGAAAATTTTGCACTTAACCTAATATTTGCAGCCACATTACAAGTAACTAGCAACGAAGAGATTCTTCCACAAGAACCAAATAAATCATCATCAAAAAACCTAACGGCTTAAATCACTCAAAAAGTAAGTGCTGAGACAAACCACTAGCACATACTGAAAAGGCATCCAAAAGTGAAAAAGACGACGAAATAACTTACATTTTCGAAGGCGGCTGGCGGGGTAAGCACAGGCACCGCATCGGCTCTTCTGGATGTGGAAGCTCCTGCGTCCGCATCTAACGCACAGTGTGTGCGTCTTGTTCCTTCTCTTCCCAAAGCTTCCTGTACCTTTTCCCTGATCAAACGAAAACCATCAATACAATCCTCTTTCATATTACATCATTTAAAAATACAAATAAAGAGTACCATTTCTTCGGTTACAGAAAACCCTAGACCTTGAGCAGCTGGGGATTATTATTTTAGTGGAAATTTGTTAAAGCGTTCTTATAGTCAAGAAGTGAATTAGGGTTTTTCTTGGTATCATATTGGACTGGGCTTGTTGTGGTATTGGTTAGGCTTTGTAGCTTAAATGTCCCATTACCAAGATACTAGAGCCCAATTTTGGTAAGTGCTCCAGTCATGAGCTGTTTTATGAGCCCTGTTGGATTGGGACATGACAATGTAATTGAGCTCCATGACCCATGTATGGACTCTAGCCCATTTAATAATTTATATGTGATGAAAAATTGAAATTACCAGTAGGAATAAAACCCTTTATTTTTATCATTGAACAGAACAGAAAAAACATTATTTACCATTTTTATCTGTACATTTTGATGCCAAAACTACCATTTACAAAAATAACTTTTTCAATACTAGTTCTACCATTTAGATACTTGAACTTCGCATTCAAATATACTACAACTTAATATACTTTATTGGTAAAGAGAATAATTTTTTTAACCTGTTCTTATGATTTTGAAATCGATTATCTTATGTTATTAACATAACCTAAACACTCTTCAGTGTCCAACAACTTATATACTCTCTCCGTTTCAGATTAATAATCGTTTTAAGCTTATTATTTGCATGGGCCAAAATTCGTACTAAGCCTGACGAGGTCCAATCGCAACAATGATATGTGACGGCTCAGAGCCTTGGCCCAATCCCGACTGGGCCCACGCTTAGAATACCTTGGGAGTTGCCTGCTCTATGAGTTAGGCCATCTCCCGAGTTAAGCTGAACTAGGTTCGGCTCATTCGCCCACAGCAGTCCATAACAAGGATCAAAATCTTAACCAAATTCCTCTTTTGACAAGATCTTGTATCTCACCCAAAGAGGAAAGCCTTGACAGATAAAGGCAAAGAATCCAATCTCTTCCTGGAAAGAGAGTTCTCCTACCAAGTAGGACTCAGGGTCTTACTAGGATTCGAGCCCTTGAGGTTCACTATATAAACTGAGGCCGGTCCTCGGCGAGAGGGGACAGGAGACATCATCCTTAAGCTCCAGTTCTCATATTGTCAAACCCATTATCCACCTCAACTCCCTTGCATCACTAGAGGCCCCCATAAAGACGCAAGGAGGCTCCCCATAGGTCCATCAAGGTTGTCAGCAGCTCTCTTAATAAGGCTATCTTCAATTGTAAATTTTAGCATTTATAATTTGGCGCCCACCGTGGGGCCTTGCCAACCAAACGATCCAGTACAACCTGCTATTCAACCTCTCCCTCCCGTTAGGTTCTAATGACCAACCACACAGAAAGTGCAGCGCCAGACGTTGCAGCTCAGATCGAAGCACTCATTGCATTGGTGTAGAAAAGCAACAACATGCACCAAGCCCTGGAAATGTAGAATGATGTGATCTGTGCCAAAAATCAAGCTCTTCGGGATAAGGTAAACCAATTTTACTCTTTAGATTGGTCATTCAACCAGCATCATGCATCCACCTCCTGACCCCCCCATTCAACTTGGGCAATTGTTCCTAAGCCCAGATAACGGCACCTTTACTGGTAACTACACCAACAAAGACCCAAACACCACCATAGCCATGGCCAAGCTGACCCAAGAAGATAACGTCCACCTCTCTACCAACTGTATTGCCAAAACAGACACCCAAACCATGCCATCCCAGCAATTAAACACCCCTCTTACACACCAACAAACACACCCTATGCAATCACTAACCGGAATATCCCTCCAGGCTATACCGCTCAGCACGACCATTCACATCAACCCAAAAGTGTTCCCTCAATTCTTTTAGAACCTCAATACTCTTGTACCAACCACCCTTGAACAAACACTGACCAAACGACTAGCCGAAATGGAAGCCATCATCCAATGCATCCCAAGGATGCCAACACCTATAAAAAAAAAAGTAAACCCTAGAGCTATGCCAAGTCGCCATTCGTGGATGTCATTGCTCTTGCAGATATGCCTCGTAAATTCACCTTCCCTAACATGAAGTCGTACGATGGTACCACCGACCCGGATGATCATATGGCCTCCTACAAACAGAGAATGTTTGTCGTTGCCATACCAACAGGTCTTCGGGAGGCATGCATGTGCAAAAGCTTTGGCTCCAGTCTAATAGGACCCGCACTCCAGTGGTACACCAACCTCCCTAATCACTCCATCACCACATTCGCCAAGCTCACGGACACCTTCATGGAATAATTTACCAACAGCAAAAAACTAAAGAAGTTATCTGGTGACTTTTACTATATTCGACAACATCGCAATGAGCCCCGCCGTGACTATGTGGGACGTTTCAACTGCGAAAAAGTCTCAATCCCATACTACAACCAAGAGATCGCGGTCAATGCCTTTAGGAAAAGCCTACTCCCAGATGGAGAGTTATACAAGGAACTTACCAAATTCAATTGCAATACCATGGAGGATATATTGGCCCGTGCTTAAGTGGGAGGAAGATGAAGCTCAAAAAGCCAAGCAGAGCATCCACGATGATCGTCGCTCTTGGCATCCCGATAAGCGTCATGACACAAGGCTAGTAGAGCCCTATTCGATAAGGAGAGTTTTGGTATGAGACAACAGGCGCCAACTAGATTGTCCTCCGGCTCGGTACAACGACCACAACACACCACCTAAGTACAAGCTGCACGACTACAACCTCAATATAGAGTCAATAGAAGTAGTAGTCGTGATGAATGAGATAGGGAATGTGGTCAGAGGGCCAACCAAATTGAAACATCCTAAAGCAAAGCAAGACACCACCAAATGGTGTGAATTCCATGGAGCCCACAGCCACAACACCGTCCATTGCATTGTACTTCGCCTCGAAGTAGCCAAGTTGCTGAAAATGGGACATCTTTGCGAGTTCTTGACAGACAAAGGGAAGAGCACAATGGCGAACAGAGATTGCTAAGTTACTCTGCCACCAAAAGCCCCTCCAGCAGATGGAATGTGTGGAGTTATCTTTGGTGGATCAAAAGTTAGTGGGGTAAGCTACTCCTCGGCGAAGCGTTATTCCCAAGCCATAGTTAACCCACAATTCCAACACTCAAAGCCGACACAATAGAGAGCCACCAACCTGACCATAGAATTCATGGATAATGAGGCAGTAACACTCTTGAATCCCCATTATGACGCACTCGTAATCACCCTTCAGATTGCCAACATCATTATCAGAAGAATCTTGGCAAACTCAAGCTTCTCAGCAAACATCATGTTCTTGGAAGCATTCAAGGTGATGGGGTTGGATGAGTCTAGCATCAACCGTCGTCCAACTCTCCTCGTAGGATTCATCTCAAAGCAAAAATACATCATCGGAGAGATTGCTCTATCGGTCTATACCAAGGGGATTAATCAGCAAACCACCTTCATGATACTAGACGCACCCTTTCCCTACAATGTGATCCTCGGTTGACCATAGATTCACAGTATAAGGATCATTCCCTCAACTTTCTACCAGATAATCAGGTTCCCCACCAAATGGAGAATCAAAGAGATTAAGGGAGATCAGAAGACCTCTAGAGATTGTTATCAAAATGCCTTCAAGCTGAACCGCGACACCATGTAGCAACTACAGACACCTCTAGCTGGAAGAGTAAAGCCGGACAAACCAACAATGGAGGAGTTGGTGAGGTCCAAATTCACCCAGAGTTTCTGGATTAAAGGATACAAGTAGGAGCTCAGTTCTTACCCGATATCTGAAGAAAGCTCATCAACTTTCTAAAGGAAAACCCAGATTGTTTTGCTTAGTCCTACTCTGACATGACCGGGATCAGCCCTGAAGCTATAATGTATTGACTAAATGCTGACTCGGACATCCCTCCCGTGAGATAGAAGAGGAGAAGATTCGCCTGAAAGAGAAACAAGGTGATCAACGAGGAAGTGGAGAAATTACTTAGCAACGACTCGGTTTGAGAGATCCAATACCCAAATTGGTTGGCCAACGTGGTGGTAGTGAAGAAAAAGAACGACAAGTGGAGAGTTTGTATTGATTTCACTGACCTAAACAAAGCTTGTTCAAAGGACTCCTTCCCACTCCCTCACATAGACATGCTAGTGGATGTTACTGCCAAACATGAACTACTCAGCTTTATGGATACCTTCTCCGGCTATAATAAGATACTGATACACCTAGACAACCAAGAAAAGACCGCATTCATCACCGAATAAGGCACCTACTGCTACAAAGTGATGTCGTTCGGCCTGAAGAATGTTGGAGCCACCTACCAGTTACTCGTGAACAAAATGTTCTCTAATCTGCTAGGAGACTCTATGGAAGTCTACATCGATGATTTGCTGGTAAAGTCACTAATAGCCGAGCAACACCTTGACCACCTTCGACAAGCCTTCGAGGTGCTGTGGTTAAGTGCTCATTCGGTGTGTTCTCAGGGAAGTTTCTAGGATATATGGTGATGTAATGTGACATCAAGGCCAATCCAGATCAGATTAGGGCGGTCATGGCATCCCATCTCCAATTAGGATAAAAAAACGTGTAATGTCTCACAAGAATGATAGTTGTCCTAAGCCGATTCATCTCCAAGTTAGTGGAGAAATGCCATATTTTCTTCCCCGCCCTCAGGAAATTAAAGAAATTTGAATAGATTCCAGCATGCGAAGAGACATTGATTCAATTGAAACGATACTTAACGTCGCCTCAATTATTATCCAAGCCAAAGAAGGGGGAACGACTCTTCACTTACCTGACAGTATCCGAATTTGCCATATCTTCCATGTTGATCCGAGAGGAAGAAGAAAAGTAATTGTCAGTCTACTACACCAGCAAGTCCTTGCTCGACGCCGAGACTCGGTATAGCCCACTTGAGAAACTGGCACTTGCCCTGATCACAACCACATGGAAGTTGCGACCCTACTTCTAATGGCACCTGATCATAGTCCTGACCTTATACCCCTTGAAAAAGGTACTCCATAAGATGGATCTCTCGGGTCGGCTCATCCAATGGGCAGTAGAACTGAGTGAGTTCAATATCTCCTTCCCACCCCACACTGTAATCAAATTTCAAGTGCTAGCTGGC